GACCAAAAGTGTTTTCTAGTCGAGATCAGCCTTTTGAACGAAAAAAAATCGAAAAAAAAAACTTTTCCAAAAAAGTGGATGGCTCTCCATGGATTCACCCATTATCATTGATTTATCAGAATGAAAATGTGTTACTATTTATTTCATTTATATCAGTTAAAGCAGTTGTAACATTGTTGGCGTTAAGTAATGTTGATGAACTTTCAAGTTGTTCATGACTTAGATTATCTTGTGATGATACATATAATTCATTCGAACCTGTACGGTTGATATTAGATATTAATGAATTTGTTTGGTTTCGAACTATATGTTTCACGAAAGATAATTAATCAATCAATCAAATAAGCAGCGGCAGATATTAACTTACTTGTTGTCGCTGCTTGTGTTGTCAATTCATTCTCATGAATTGATGTATCAGAATCAGATGATAGAACTATTAATAAGTACAAGATAGTGATAATCTATCCTTAGTTATTGATACTAACCTAAATAAATGGGAGTGGGGGTGTGAGTGTGGATTAAAATAAGTACCACATCCACCTACACCCACACCCACACCAACACCCTATAATTATCAGCTATATTCATCATAGTTTTTCGAAGATGTGTTCGTATTAGTGACCTGGGTGACCACTTTCATTTCTATTTAGAGAACAATTACAATTATATCGGGGTCACTATTTATTTCTACGCTTTCAGTAATTTCTGACTCGATGTTTAGGACCTATCTCGACGGTTTATCAAGAAAAAGAAGCGAAACAAGGAGCTTCATTGAGAGTACCTTGCTCATAAATTTCGAACAATGCCATATGCACTCTGTATGATGCTATCGATCACTGAACTAACCTAGTTCTTTCGCCTCTCTCTCTCTCTCGCGGAAAAGGTAGAACCATGCTCATTACACTTGCTAATTGGGACGAAGAACTAAAATATAAGTGTATTACTTGGAATAACTGATTTCATCGAAGAGAAACATAGGTTATTTTACTTATTTTAAATGATTAGAATTAGCGTCGGACTTTTTCGGAACAGATGGATTTATTGTGAGTGTTACCTGAAAAGGTATTTTTAGAAGCAGTTTTACTGACATTCCTGTACAATAGTTCAACAAAATTATTAAGCAGTTTATTTGATAGTATTCATGTGATCTAGCTATACGATAATAAGGTACTGTTATTTTCTTACGGTTTTTACATCAAGACTCCAAAAGCGCTGTTTGTGAAAGAACTATTTCTCATTTAGCGTACTGGATGGATCTATTTAGATTAAGTTTTAGTCATGATTCCAATACATGAAACAGCTGCAAAATGATTTAAACCAACTGTTCGCCAATAATGATTAAAAAGCTCACTGAAATAAATATCACTTATGCATATGAATCTGCTCTCTGGCTATACCACTTTTATATTGGGGGAATCCATGTCAGTGATATTTTTATGGCTTGCACGTGTATGTAAGTAGGATAGAAATGCAATTCATTCATCTCTCTTAAATATCACTTTTGCTTTTCATTCATCTTAATAAATTCATTAGACAGAACAAAAAGAATCACACATACGAATGAGGAGGTCTTTCGATTGAAAAGCGTTGAACTCGATTGTTATTGTAGTCGACAACATAGATATTACCATGTCGATCGTATGACAAGCCCCATGGGCCATCGAATTGATTTTCTTTGTCTCCTACACCGTTGCCACCCATAATAACAGTGCCTTGTGTCGCTCCTTTTGGCCAACGCATCACTCGATCATTATCCGTATCTGCTACATAGAGTCTATCCAAACTATCGACGAACAGTCCTCTAGGATTTGCTAATTGTGTTAGAGCACTTCCCTCACCTTGGCCCCCAGCAACAACAATACCTTCATTTGCATCTCTGTCCCATTTCATTACACGATGATTATTCTTGTCTGAAACATAGACAGCCTGTTGTCGATCGACAAAGATAAAGGTTGGTTCATTCAACTGATCGAGACGATCTCCTTCTTCGCGACCACCAGCCACCAACATTCCATTTTTATGTCCGAGTAGATATCGTCTGACTTCGTGCTTTACGTTATCAGAAACATAAAGAAATCTATGGTCACTCATAGCCAAACCGTAACAATCAATCTTGTCGAGAATAATTTCTCCTTGAGTTGTGTTATCACGAAGAGACAACTGTAAAACTTGTTGATTGTATTGATCACAAATGATAAGACTGTCTGTCTCCTTGTCAAGCAAGACATCGCTAGGATATTGTAATGAATTCAACCCATTACCTTCAGTATAGTCACTAGCGACTACTTGTCCTTCTTTATCATGCAGTTTCCATCGAATTATACGACTATTGCCGTGATCGACAATGAACAACGTTTGATTGTCATCAACGAAGAGACTACAGGGAATGGCAAGTTGATTGGAGGTATCACCAAAACCATGACCTCCAGCAACAGTTGTCCCATTTTGTGTCCATCGGGCATTTTCTGGAATATGAGGTAAGACTATAATAAACCAAGCATACAGTGAGATCTTTGTCTCACCCACGTAAAATGAGATTCTATCATGAAACTAGAATTGAAGAGGCTCTGTACATATGCTGCCATTAAATCTTCGAGACTCCTCTATAAGCTCTCTCTCTTCGAAAATTGATGCTTTGAAGGAACCAGAATCGAGTCATGAACCTTTCATGCGTTTCTGTAGAATAATTCCATTAGAAGCTTGAGGGATAGTTAGCATTATACAGATTGAGAATTCTCTTCATATTTCTGAAAGTCAAGCCTTGGAGATTTATCAGCAACATTATGAAGAATTCCTCTTAGGAGACTATTGACGTTTAGTATTTTACACTACAAAACACCACATTTACAAATATTCGTGAGTTACAAAAACTCCCTAGTTAGAAAAGTTCTTTATTTCGCTCTAAATAAAAATGTGTCGCATGTATGTGTTGCGACTAACAGTGTCGCAGGTTCAGTGTAGAAAATAATTATGTCGCATCAGAAAGTGTCGCTAAAAAATTTGTCTCGTTCTGTGTGTAGACTATCGATTCACCTTTTTCTTTTGGGTAAAAGATCGTATATAGAGAATTCGATTGAACATAAGAAAGTTATGCATTTTCACTTAAATATTTTTTAGATTAGTACTTTATTAATAATTCGTCGAGAGAATGCTTATCTCGGTCATCGATCGAGGTGGGACTACCCGAAAATGGTCTGGTAAAAACCGGATCGACTCGAGACTAGACAGATCTCAAGATCTAGCCTGTTTGAGCTTACAGAAGTGAAACTTCAAATAAACCAAAATCGAAAGAATTATCATAATCTTTTTGATAACAATACAAATAAATTTCTGGCTAGTGGGATCAAGAAAACGTTTTCAGAATGTGTCGCATATGTCGTACAAAATATGTTGTGTCATCGCTGGAGATAATATGTCACAGCGAGCACCTGATGTCGCACTCGAATGTGTGGTAAATCACGACATATGCGACGCAGCAAGCGCTTCAAATAATATACTGTCATTTTCTCATACTGACCTCGTAAAAACTCTAAATATGTACCATAAATGATAAATAGATTGATATCATCGCACCAGTAATTTGTAACACCACTTTGATTGTTGAATGCATGAAACTCAATGGATACTTGAAGTTCCTGAATATCATCTTGTAACATCAAACTGGCGCTCATTTTAGTCGAATCTATATACAAAACTTATACAGAAATGAGTCCATACATACTGAAAATTACTTAATGTTCGCTGAGCCAAGACTATGCCATCGCTATTGGTTCCTCTCAATTCGATGAATACACCTATGCTCATGTTTGCACTCAGAATCGCTTTAGAGTATGGCCAAGATCTCGAGTCCCATCTATTAACTAAACTGACACGTCGCAATATAGTAGCTCCAGTAGTAAGGGATTTTAAGATAAGCCGACAATTACTATTATTCTTTTCGGACATCATCGTAATAACATAACTAGTTTGCAATGTCCAACTATTAACGAGAGCTGTATTGCAATCAGTTTGATCATCGTCGATCAAGTTCGTATCATAAGATAGTTGAGCATCTCGAATAGAGAGAGCAGTTAGTAAGTCAAAGCCTGTAAATGTAACATCCAAAAAGCTAGTTTCGTGAAGGTTGGCTCGGGAAAAGTTAACATTGGTTAAGTGAACTCCAGCAAACGAAGCACGCTTAAGATTCGAATACCAAAAGGTAGAATTTAATATAACAGACGAATGGAAATTGGCTGCAACACAAGTTGTTTGTTGAAAATTCGTGTAAAATACTTTAGCCCCGCGAAAATTAGCTGACGCTGAAAAAAAGGTAAACACGAGGTATCATAAACGAAGAACAAAACTAAAGTGAGTATTACCTAAAATAGCCAATGATAAATCTGAGTTGGTGATTTGAGTAGACAAAAATTGAGGGTGACTGAGTTTAGTCGAGAAAAAATTGACATTGAGTAGTTTGGCAGATAAAAAATTGACATTCATAAGTTGTCCATATGAAAAATTAACGTTGACCAATAAAGCAAAGGAAAAATCCACATTATTCATTAGAGACAAAGAAAAGTCGACATCAGAAAGCGAAGCCGAGGAAAAATCAACATTGTAAAATATAGATGACGAAAAACTCACATTTTGGAAAGAGCTGAATTTAAAATTGATATTAAGAATATTTCCAAATGAAAAGTTCACATTATCGATTTTGGTCAATGATAAGTTAACAGTATCAAGCTGAGAAGATGAAAAGTTGATTTTTTTTAATTGACCGTGTGCAAAAGTAGTATTGAAGATAACAGAGGATGAAAAGTTAGAATTGCTAACTCTTGTGAATGAAAAATTGGTATTCCGTAGTTGTACTAATAAAAAATTAGCCGTATCGAAATGATTATGAGAAAAATTAACATGGGTCATCTCAATCCCCACAAATGTGATATTTGTTAGAAAAATACCAGCCAACGACAGTTGATTCAATCGTTTTTCATCTACTGCTAAATCACGAAAATCGATATCGAGAAGTTTTGCTGTTGAGAGATCCAATGGCGAATGTTCTTTTACTTCAGAAAGTTGTTTAGCTTCATAGAGAAATCGAATAATACGAATATTACGCTGACCGTCCAGTTGACGAAATATATTCAGAGTGTTCACTCGAGACAGTGTAGCCATGAATTCTTTCGAAATCATTGCTCTATGGTTTTCCTTTAATAGTTGACCCATTTCTTTAATATAGACACCAAAAATTTTATTTCTATATCTTTGCTCATCCAGGTCTCTTTCTTGTTCTCGCTGTAGTTGCGATGCATTTCGATCTTCGTCACGTTGTTGTTTCGCTGCACTTTGCTGCTGAAAAGTAATTATGATAGTAAAAACACCGAACGAGAGTGGTAGTAGTAAAGAAGAGATAAATTTTAGAAGATCGGTAAGTCTCAAACCAGATATTCGACGAAATGCACGAATGGATCGATTCATTCGTGCACCTTTTTTTTTAGAAGGCATTCAATCTTTTGAGTTTGGTGCATAGAAATAAATGGCTACTATAACGATAGAATGATTGAAATTGAATATCTCTCCCGTTGATATTTTCTGGCAAAATAAAAGTGTGTTTTTACTACTATGTAACACGAGATACCTAGATTTATGCAGTATAAAAATAACACTTGGCTACAGTGTAATTTCTTCGTTGCATTCATCAATTGTCCAATCAATAGAACGTGATAAATCAGCGCAAAACTGTTTTCATTATGTAAGTTACGTGTACATGTCATTCAATATTGAGCAATGTTTGGAATAGGCAATATTATCAAGAAAAACAAACCTTATGTGGATAGAGAAGGATATAGTTTCAATGATGATAATTTCGATTGTGCTGAAAATTCCATATTACGCACGATAAGTTATTTTATTTCTATTGGAATCATTTAAATAGGACTGCTAATCATGTATATCTATTCGAGTAGCAGGAACCAGCTCAGTCTGCCATACCCTTCATGTGTGCTAGACCATCATGAAGCACACATGAAAAGTATTATTGTTTTGTATATAACAGTAAAATCGTAATAGTTGACAAAATCAATTTTAGGATCTATGTCAGAGTATCTATTCTCTCGTGTTTTCCCAGTATACTCATTTACATCCCGACTAGAAAATTAATGTAGATGACGAGCGATATATAAATAAAGTATACAAAATGACACAGTAATGATAAGTTTCCTAATAATTCTGCTAAAAAATAGGACGACGAAAAACTGATTGAAAATTTTAGAATGTGAATTGATATTTAAATGGTGGGAATTCGTTTGATCAATGCTCTCAATATTGTATTTTCCAAATCATATTTTTATTTACGGACACTACCATATGACTGAATATAATAGATTGCTTAGATTTGCAGAAGAAATATTGACTTTACACAACACGTATATTTAGCAAAACTAATAAATTATGAAAACGATATAGAATAAAAGTTTTATCATACTTGATTTCAGGACAGAACTTTGTCACTTACAAGACCTGTTTTTTACTACGATTATAATAATACATAAGATATAACGTGAAAAATCCGTCACACAGCACACTTTTTCCGCAATATAATCGATCTATGAAGAAACAATCTGCCTTTTCCATTTTTTTACCGATATTTAAAAATTCTATTTGAAATAAATCGTTCAACAAGCAAGCACCGATGTCCAGTTTTTTCTTAAATAAAAAACTTCGCTAATACATTCTCTGTATAATGATCATATTATGCAAATACACGGCCAATATCCATCACGTGTGACACATTGAATGCAATCTTTTATCTGGAGAAAAATAAAAAGCTACACTAGTAAAAATATTGACAAAAGATTCTATCTGTTTTCTCTTTTTACTAGTGAACTTGCAACAAAGATTCAACTGGTCATTACTCAAGGCTGCTAACATTTGAACTTAGAATGTATAACTAGTTTCATAGTTTAGAAATAAATAGTCGAGTAAATACTAACAAACGATTCGCTATGGATCGAACAAAAGTATATTTACTACGAATTGTTGATTTGGCATATTGATTTTTACTGCGATGATACTTTTTATTCTAAGCCCCATACCGTTTTTATTAAGAAAAAGCAACTCTTTAATTTGATCATCTTTTATTCGATGTAAAAGAATAGAGCAAAATAATATTTGATGTCTATTTATCTTCACTTGAAAAATGAACATGTATGTTTAATTATAGAATTTTTCTTCGAAAATTTCGATCGTTCGAATTTTTTTAGCATTTGCTCATCGAATAAAGAAATGAATGCATCTGTCGGATAATAAAGGAGACAATAACCGTTCGTATATGTATATATATATGTATCGGAGTCATTCATATCGAAAGACAAATGCTTGTATAGGATACGTCAACAATGATGAACGATACATTTGAATTCATACCGAATGAAATTTTGCTCATGATATTTTCTTATTTATCTTCTATTGATCTCTGTCAAGCCTTCCTTGACTTGAAAAATAGTCGTATCAGAAGTCTTACTACTTCTATTCGTCACTCATTAGATGCTAGTTCAATGCATTATAACCAATTGCGAGAATTACTGCAAAGTAACAATGATTATACACAACGTTTTACTGCATTGATAGATACGGTTATACTTGATGATTCATCTGCGTGCGGGATGTTACTTGATCATTGGAAGAAAAATTAAAATGCTCTTGAACGATCGAACATATTCTTACCATCAGTAAAGAAGATTTCATATTGAACGGAAAGTATTTTGAATATTGTTTTATTCATTCACTATTAATTCCTTTGGTTTCTGTGAACAATGCATTACAATATTTGCATATTGTTTTCCAGCGACCAACGCGCGCATATCAAACAATGCTCTATAATCTTATTCGTCAACACATTTCACTTCATACTATGATACTTGAAGTTCAACAATGTATTTTATTAAACATATTCTCGAATAAAAAATCGAATGAACTGACCACTTTTTTTAGTTAAAATAATATAAGGCGATTTTTAAGATATTATGAAATAGTTTCAGTCATCTAGAACGCTAGCGTTGTATTTGTAAATTTCAAATAATCTTTAGACTTGAATTGTGCTCACGTATGAACATGCTGGAGACTGAAGAAGATCTGTGATAGAAATCTATGCAATAATATCTTGCTTGCTGGCAATAAGTAATGAGTTTATATGTCAATTGTAGTCATTCTCAATAATGTTGGCTATTGACGTACTATGTTTTATCTTGCATAGTGATCTTATTTAAATTTTAAGAATATCAGTGCGACATTTTGTTGTATGAGACTTTGATGATGTACATTAACTTTTAATTTGTAAATTTCGTTCATAAACGAAAATGGAATCGCATTATTGAATACATTTGTATATATTTGCAACTTGATGAAAATCAGTTGTCTTTTGTAACGCATTATATCTTAGTTTAGTAATCAATCAACATAGAAGAGATTAGCTGGTCACAAAAAGCATTCGGAAACGTTTTTATCGTTAAAATTCTCTATTATATGTAAATCATTTCACATTGAAATATTAGCTGAAAGCTATTTTTCTAATGACATCATTTTAAACAGATATTTCTTATAAATTCAATTATAGAGCGATGGTCTATCATTGAGCTATAGTAAAGTTCATCATCTTGACGCCTTTAATGATTAATTTTGTTTGTCAGATATAGAGATAAGTGTAACTTTTCTAAATTCGAAGGTACAATTTAAATGGAATAATTTCTTCTGTTCCTGTGTTACCTCTTTCATTATTTTTTACTCGTTTGATTCATAGGTCATATGTATTACTCGGATGATCGGGTACTTGATTGCCACAAGATGGTATCAACATGTTGGCCAAATACAATTCAATTAACATTAAGTATTCTACATTCAAGCGAACTCGTACTTCTCTTACAACGCAATGCTTTACCTACAATTGAACATTTGAGTGTTACTAATGAGGATATATCTGTTGCTTTATTGCTTGGCTCGTTAGCTATGCCTTTACTTGAAAAACTGATATTGATTGATTTGTATAATCATAGTAAGTTACCATGTAATATTTCTTTATCAATTATTCTTGTATTATATCAACTGAAACCATTCAGTTTCTTCTGCTATGATAGACCAAATGATCGAATCAACTTTTGGCACGAAAACTTGTACTAAGATATTTGTAAAAGAATTTCCAGGATAGTTTCAGAAGTCGTGCGCGTTAGTATTTCTTCTCTTCTTCATCATATCGAAATAAAGTCGATTTTTACTTTTTTGAGTATAAAAAATCACGAGGTATGTTCAGATTTCCGAAAAAGGAAATTACAGAAATTTCCGAAGCTTCCATCAACTCGATTACTACATAGCAAAGCAAATGAAAATTTTTTGAAAATATTTGAAAGTTTAGAAATTTCGCTTTGTACAGAATTTTGGAAATTTCAGAAATTTCGGAAATTGTATAATTTTGGGAAGTACCAAACAATTTAGAACACAAGTACTTGAAATTTCCAAAACTTCCAAAATTTCCTTTTTTGGAAGTCTGAACACTGCTGAAAAGATGAGCCTGATCGTTTACTGGAAACTCAATGAATACTTGCTAGCGGCCGTGTCAATGAACTCCACTTGACGTACTCATATGGACCAGTAAGTACATCAAATCATTAATTCACAAAGATAAGTAATGTTAACAGATAAAATGAATCAAACCAAAAACCTTTTGAATAAATTATTATTCGTCAAAGTTTTCAATTTCGAGTTAAGGAGTAATTACTCGTAGAGCATTTACGACTACAAATTATTTTCTAATATTGAATAAAATAATTTTTGGTAAACGTTGAACCACAAGCAGATATTTACTTGTTAAGTCGATAGAATCATGTCAAATTTGCTAAAAACAGCATTCAAAGTAAGCGAGAATGCATTGTTCAAAAGCGAACTTGAGATAAAATGTCAAGTTATCGGTTTAGAATTAAATGCATCTCGTCTTTTAATATCACTAATTGTTAAATTGGTTGCCACTTAAATAATTATTTAATATGATAAGATACATAGAGTATGTAACTTATACATACATGCAGAATACTATATACCCAGGTCGAGCTTTACAGACTCCGTATACGGATAAATACGGCCCGTATACGATCGCAAACGAGCGTATTCGACCGTATTTTACCGTATTACCTGGCCCCGTATTACGACTATGACTCTCCGTGTCGTGATACAGTGAAATACGGTCGTATACGATCAGAAACTAGCATATACGACCGTAAATCACCGTACACGACACGGAGATTTACGATCGTAATACGGAGCCAGGTAATACGGTCGTATTTCACAGTATACGGTCGTTTACGACCGTGCTTATTCGACCTGGGTATATATATGTATATATGAAAACGAGATCGGATAGTACGAAGAAGCTCATAAGAATCAGAAAGTATCACCGATGAAGCTGTTTTCATGTACTGTTTTATTTTCTAAACTGAAAAATTATGCTAGCATCAGATTCAACATTTAACTGAAGCAGAATAATAGGAGGTGATGGTGTGGGTATAGGCGGATGTGGTATTTCTTTTAATCCACACCTACGCCCACACCCACACCCTCAAACCATATGCATTACATTTTCTATTTTATTTAGGATACTTTTTCCACTTTTAAGAACTCCATCCGGCTAGATTTCTGGATCTGACCATACCTGAACTGCTCAAGCCCCTCGCATATCACACAAAGGCGGTCCGCTCTTAATTTACGATAATTATCTGTATTCTCTTGACTAATCGATAATGAAGATATAATCTAGAGAAAAATTACTTTAAAAAAGATTAGTTTTTTGTGTTTTGTCGACTTGTTTATGAAGAGCGGCTTGTGCAAAAGAAAACGGGTGAATGAACAGTCACTATACAGAACGCAAGAAATCTAGGGTACCCTGTAGAGCTTTCCTCAGTAAGATGGCCGGTGAGGGTAGTCATACAAGTACTTGTTTGGAGAACATACTGCCCGGGATACTTAAGTATAGTACCTATGCCAGTATGATTAATGAGAATTTTCGAAGTACCCGAATCGGGTACCCTGCTACGGCTTTCTCAGTACTATCGCTAGGGCGGTTATACAAAATTTAGTCTAACACAACTTTTGCTCTATTGTTCGAGATTTAGCTACACTGAACATTGTAGTACTTTCTTCATGGAACTCTTTTTTGAGATACTCTGTAAGAGTTCAAGGCTTCTATCAAGTTTTAGGGATAACAATCGATTATTGAATGATAGTTGAAGAAAACAAAAATGTATACCGCACAGTTCAGTTGGATATGAACATGATTGACTCGATTGAAAATTCGATAATTATTAGTCGGTAATGTATTTTCACTTTCGAAACTTGGCAATGGTCGCCAAATGAAGTGTTCATGACACCCCGGTATTGAATAGAGAAATGATTGGTCAACAAGTCGATGCTTATCACAAGCAACGAACCAACGTTTTTCATTAAGCCAAAACTTGTTACGAAAAGGCAAGAGAATCTGTTTGATTGGCGTGTCTGTTGTCAGCTTAGCACGAAATTGAAATTGAAATGCAGTCAGTGATGTTGTCCATAGCAATGATTCCCAACGAGTTCCATCAAAATAAGTTTCATCGTCGACGTCGCTGATTAATCTTAAATGTCGAAGCTGTTGTGAATCTTTCATTAACCAATTTAAGAAGCTTACAATCATTTCCATTGTCAAATGTGAAGTAGAGATCGATAAATAGGCTAGTTTGGGTGATTTTGATGACGAGTCAATATTTTGTAAATCGTCATCAACGTCGATTTCTACATCGGTAAGAATAAGTGTTTCAAGTGATGTTGATGATAATAGAATTTGTTGAATTTGACGTATCATACATGAATTTAAAACGAGATCCTTTATATTAACTGTATTGTTCTGTGTTAAAACTGCGCATAATGATGAAGAGAACAATGAAAGTTTTTGCAACGAATGCCCAACGAGAGAAGACTGTAGAAGTCGAAGTGTTTTAGCATTGCATTCACTTCGACAATCGATGGATAAATATTTGAGTGATTTCAATGATATCGTCTTTAAAATATTTTGCAATTGAATATTGTCAATTTGTACAAAGTCAATGATGATAATCGGACAAATTTCTTGATATCAAAAGATGAGAGAAAGAGGTCAATTTGATTTGATGTATCATTTCCATCGGAAAGTGTCATTGAAATGACTTGTTCATGTAGAATAAGTCGACCAATAAGATGAAACTTATGTTTTGATATGGATTGAAAATTAAATTTATATCGATTGTAAGTACCAAGTGTGTAATTAATTCGTCGACATACACCATGTAATGAATGAAAAATAGTTTGAACATCAAGACAATCTAAAATCCGATAGATCAATTCTATCGGTAAATAATCCAATCCAACAACATTAGCCATTATTCGGTTCTTTTGTTGATAACTAGATCAATTGAAGCCTGTTGATGAAAAAGTCAAAGAAAGTCAATAATTATATAAAAAGAGAATGCGAACACATTAATACACTGTAAAGCAATAGGCATACATTATTAAACCCTGGAAAAGGATTTAGGAAATTTATAAATCCTGTCATATACCCTATGTAGGATTTATTAATCTCATAAACTCTTTCATATGCCCTTTCGGCTCATCAATCCTCGGAAGAGCTTGCTATACGTTGCACTTTCATAAACCCTTCAGGGTATATGAGCGGTAATATACTTTCAAAAGATTGATCAAAGTCATAAACCCTTTAGAAAAATATTTATGGGTCTACCCTTTAGAAAAATTCGTAGAGTAAAAAATGCTTTTCTCAAGGGTTGACGACTTTTAGCAACTTTATAAAGGTATATTACCACTCATGTACCCTGAAGGGTTTGTGGAAGTGCAACGTATAGCAAACGCTTCCTAGGGTTGATGAGCCGAAAGGGCATATGAAAGGGTTTATGACATTAATAAATAATCCTAAAAAGATTATATGGCAGGGTTTATAAATTTCATAAACCCTTTTCCAGGGTTTAATAATGTACGCCTTTTTTTTACAGTGTACAGTGTAGGATACAGCTCAAATTCTTTCACAGGACTATATCTGTCATCAAGTCATTCTGTCATTAAATAAATGATGCTCGTTAAAAATTCGAATAAATACACCAAAACTACTATTGACTTGAAGTTACTACAATGGAGTAATCATTACTATTGATTACACTATCAATAATGGGAAAACACGATGTCAGAAGTCTTTAGTAGACATAACCGTACATAACAATCGAACTACTAAAGAATTAAATTCATGAGAATCCAAGTCACCACTTTGATGAATACTCTTTTCTATCAAATATCTATATTATGCGAATAATATTAGCCATTTGCTGGGGTTGGAGTATCGAAGTACTAGAGGACGGGACATCTGATCACTTTCCTCTTCTCCTACATTCACTACTGACAGTTTCACAATCTAACAACTTTAGAATTACAAATTAGAATGCATTTTCCCTTTTCTCCATACTATCTTTAAATACTGGTTGGCGTTAGTATACAACTATGACGAATAATTCTTCTTCATGCAGTTCTGAAATTTTCTCATCTCATTATGAGACTGATGCAGTATATATAAAACTGTAAAAGAATATATGCTCCCTTAGTCCCTCGTTCTAGTAGTGCTTGCAAAGGTGATGAATAGAAGAAGACGTATCTACTGACGCAATAGAGCTGATATTAATCTCGATTACTTTCTACAAGCTAAAGACAAGTTTTGTGAAGAGATATCTCAACTAATAAAATAAAAACACGACGACAAACTAAAATGAATAGCGCGTGAACAGAGTATATGGAAATTTACACGACCTATCTTTCTTGTTTTCTCATCTCCATTTCAAGGTTTAACAAAAAATTCCTAAAAAATAAAGAAGCCTAAGAAGATAGTGGATGTACTAGCAGATCACTATGAGAAGCACTTCGATGAGCCTACACCTGATGTAAGTAGCACTTTTCATCAAGAATGTATCTCCATCTTTGATCAAATTGAACTACTGCCTAACATCCCGTTAGATCCAATATCAATAAACGAAGTAATGAGCAGGCGAAAACAAAATACCGCAAAAATAAAGTCAACCGATAATGTAGATACCTCAATATTTCTGTTGAAGAAACTACCTGAAGAATAAATCAATATAATAAGTGTACTATTCAATAACTGCTCAAAAAAGGGTTAGTTCGTTTCTACTGCAAAGCACGCTAAAATAATATGTATACCAAAAGAAGGTATATATCTCATTCCCCAATTTTGGGAAGTGTTACTAACGTATTTTTCACAATAAGATTTTATTATGATGTAAAAAAACGTATTTACACTGATGAGCAATCGGGCTTTTCTCCCGATCGAAGATTGCAAACTCGCATCATAGTGTAAAGATTTTAGATAGAAGAGATGCCCGTGCTGATGGTATTACACTTTATTTTACTCTTCAAATCATAAATCGCACTGATTATATATAAAGCACACATTTAAATACTCAACCATTTGAGAGAACGAAGGAGAATGAGAGATAAAGAGAAATATCAAGGACAGAAAGATAAAGGTAATAGGTACCATGAGAATAACTGGCACTATACGCACACATATCATGTATAGATTACAATCGAACGGGAGCGTTACACTCCCGCATGAAACTTGGACACTCTCCGCATATATTGTTACACATAGCAGTCATGGAATAATTGAGACAGACAGTAGCTATGAACAGCAGACCAGCATTGATGTTATTCATCAACTTCCTCTCGGCTTTCGATCATACGTGAGTACCAGCACTAATCCACAATCTCTGTAAACTGAACATGCCACTACCGCTAATAAAGTGAATTTTCAATTGGTTAAGAGATAGATCCTTTAGCATACATTACAGTGAGGTTAAATCACGTGTACTTCAAATGAGGAAAGGACCCCCCGCCGAAGGTTCTGTTATAGCGGCAACACTTTTTCGACTTCACATACACTTCATACCATCTTGTTTCAACAATACGCTAGTACACCTGTTCGGTGTGTGTGAGAGGAAGCGAATCGCATCATGTCTTTTGCGCTGTGAGCATCATAAAACACTGACCACGCATGATGGTTAGAGTTAAGATTCTTTCTCAGAGGTGAAGCCTATCCCTGTGTCTCGTATTTCCCTACCTATGTACCTACCAACTTACCCTACCGTAAGTGTGATAGCGATGAGTCATCAATTTACCTACATATCTACCTCCCCCCACTCCTCTCTAAGTATAGTTCCGATGAGTCATGTAATTGCGTAAGTACGGAGGGACCGACGCAGCTATTGGATGAGGATAGAATTCTGATTGGTCAATTTATGGTGATACTCCAGTGATATTCCAGTGATAATATCAGTGAGATCTGTCATGCGCTCGTATTTCGTTATCAACAGCGTCGAAGATTGATCAACCTCTCTTTCCCTACCATTTTCTCCACACTATTCAATCTCTCTATTCTCGTATGCCCCTCAAAAATCTAGAATGTTGCTATCTATTATTGTTCCCACTCTGTATCTGATTTTTCCATTTTTTTTATTATGAATGCGTGCCAAGTAAAAAGTTGATATCTATATTGTTCCTCTTTTTATACTTTTATTGTTATGGCAACTGTTTCTCTCTCTTAGTTTCTACTATACTTGCGAACCAACGTAGTATATGGCACAATAAACATAAATATTAAAAGAAATATCAACCACTTGGTAAATTGTGGAAACAGTACTGATTATATGATGACTTTTTTTAAACAGAATATTGTAGGTGAAATCTATTGACATATACCATAATAGATGGACAACGATATCTACTAGATCAAACCTTTGAAATTTTAGGCGACTATCTGATCGTACCCAAGAAATCTTAAATCATTTTTACAATTTCATATTTGAAAGTGAATTGAACTGAGCTATTAAATAACGGATTTCGATCTTATCAATAGCCTGATATCATTATGATATAAATAACAAGTAAATTTTATCGACATTGAATGCCGATTCACTTGGCCCTAGACTAGTGGCATCATAACAAAGATGACATTGTATTTTTAAATAAAAAGCTGTTAGCGCAAACCTATTGGGTTAAAAGTGTGAAACGCGATGAAGCTGCCCTTAACATTCATGCAAATCCTGCTTCATACATGAACCTCGATGCACATTGTCTCCTTATATTTTACCTAACTACTAAAGGTGTCATAAAATATGAGCGACATATATCCACTAATTCTCTATAAAAATCTGCCACATTCAGTGTCACCTCTGAAACCTGTCTGCCACAATCTGCGATGATTCTGAAGCTTGTCTGTCACGGCCTGTGATAGCCTTGGAACCCTGTGTGTCACGTCTGTGATGCTTTCGAGCCATGATTGTCATGGTCTGTGGGAGAGGGCCGGGACAGTGGGTCCAAATTTCTGCCCCTAAACATTTCAACACTCCTTTTGGATAGTGTTTCATAAAATGAATTTTGTATAATGATGAGTTTAGGAGAAAATGTTAATATTTTCAACCTGTTCTATATAACATATTGAAAGATGTTAATGCATACGAAGCAGCTTATGCTATGACTCATTATAAAGACTAAAATCCTAATGCACCATAAAAGTAAAGATCACTTTTCATGCGGACATCGCCAAGAGTGGAATAGCAATGATCATTTGAGCCATCAAAATGCTTAACTTTTCCATAGAACTGACTCATTGTGTTCAAGAAATGGCGAATTCAACCACAAGAATCGCAATCTGTATAATGGAATCCACCAATTGTGTCGAATAAATGGTCACCTGTACCATCAAAATGGTCACCTGTACCATCAAAATGGTACTTTCGTACCATGCAAATGGTAACTTGTACCAAGAGTATGGTATTTTGCACCAAGACTATAGTACTTTATATCATCGAAATGGTAACTTATACTATGACCATCGTACTTTCTATAATTAAAATGCTCACTTGTGCCATCACTTTCGCATATTGCACCATGGAAACAGCCACTGGTACCAAAATTTTGATACTTTTTATCACAAAAATGGTTACTTGTACCAAGCGTATGGTACTTTGTACCATAAATATTACCACTTGTACGAAGTGTTACAGACAGACACGGGTGAATTACGGTTTCTAGACCCTATCCTTTAAGTCTAGGGGGAAAACTACTGCCTCTTTAACAATACAGTGAACCTGATTGCAAGTTAACTTACACCAGAAAGGAAGTAGCCATGTAGTTGGAAATTTTATAAACAACCGACTCGACCAATGAATTATGTAACCATCAATCATTGGTTAAACATTTCTCGAAAGATGGCCTTTCACAAATTTCTATTACACTTTTGTTTCTGATTCATGGCATCATAGGCAAGAGAATGGTATTTCATTAGTCAGCAGCACACTTTGCCGACAAATCGATGAGACGCTAGCACGGCATAGAAAACATTTATTGGAGATAAGGATTAACCAATCCAAAAATCAAAATAAGAAAAACGCCATTTTGAGGGCTTGAGCAACTATAATGTCCAGGTCGAGCAGTACGGTGACCGGAACGACCATAAACGTTAACGCACATTATCGTCTCACGTCGTTTACGGCCGTTTTTTTCGTTGTTCCGCCGCTTACCACGCACCGTATTACGTCTGTATTTTGCTGAGTCGTAAACGGATAATTGCGGCCGTAATAAGGTTGTAAGATTCAGTGTCCGGTCGTTTACACTGTAAAAAACAATCGGTTTTTACAGAGTCTTAAAGGTTCTGCGTTTTTTTACTGAACTATTTTAAGTTCTGAAGAGGACTAACCCTTTCGGTTTGTGCATGCTCTGAAAAAAGTAAAGGAGGTTTGCAGAACCCTCCGAAAAGGTTCTTTAGATTTCCAAAATGCTCCAAATGTGTCCAAAGTCTCAAAAAAAAGGATAAAAATTTGGACAGAACCTTTTGAAGATTCTGCGTTTTACCCCATCTCAGAACCATCTCTTACTGAACGTTTTTTAGGTTCTGTACAGCAAAAAACGTTCCGTGAAAAAATACGAAACCTTGAAGGTTCTGTACAAAACCATCAACCATTTTTACGTAACCCTAATAGTTCCGTACTGAACCCTATTCATTTTGTACTGAACCTTTACGGTTTCATATTTTCTCACGGAACCTTTTTTAGCTGTACAGAATAGGGGTGTTACTTTATATTTACATTATGAAATAAATATAAATAAAATGTTTATTTTTATTTTACAAATATAAGCATTTTATTTATATTTAAAAAATAAAGATTAATAAATTTGAAAATCTTTATTATTTGAAAAATAAAGATAAATGAAATATTTATATTTATAAGATAAAGATAAATAAATCAGATAATTCGGAAAAATAGATATAATATAAATATAAAGTTGACAATTTTTCTATGAGCGACAAAGAAACAAATTTCTTGTGTAACAAGAGGGGAAGCTAATTGCAATTGTATGGTACGAAATATTTTCCTCAATTCCAAATTCAATGTATAGAATGAGAAGATTAAAAATGACTACAAGCTAATTATGTTTTTTTTGTAATAATCTTATAATAATTCAAGTTAGTTCACTTACTGGGGACGAAATCCAAATCAACTGATACTGATTATTATTTTCCACTCGCCGACATTCTTATCTAAAGAAAGATATGAATTAAATTAGGCTTCTGCTTTTAACGTGAGGGAAATGTAGAACTTAGTTCCAGATGTACAGAATAAGTTATCGATCTTTGATCATTTTTTAAAAATACTATTAGTACTGTTTCTCGATGACGACATTAGCTAAATTGTCTAGCTCACCGTTTCGTAAATGGTTTTTCAATGTTCGTGTTAAAAGCGTACAGACGATACCTGATTAACTGTTAGATTTATGTCTTTGCTTCATTTGTCGATATATTGTAAATAAGAAATTGTGATTCCTTCCAGAATAGACCCTAGAGATAGAATAGTAGGAGTTCATCAAAAAATAAATTAAACTCATGTATATATATTTGAATATTTGAGTATTATATTCTCTTTATGATTAGTTATTATTCTTTGTGTATATATATTAGAAAACTACTTTAGTCTATAAGAACAATCTTTCTAGATTTCCATAGTTTGTGATTTTACTTCTATATGCAATTACGTTTTAGAATATCAGATGTCTCATTTTTTAAGATAAAATTCCACTTATTTATCATGGTTTTCGTTTAGCTTCACATAAAGAGTCATAATTAAAATAATTATTCACTCACAGTACACCCTTTAGCGCATTTGGAAACTTTTCCAGTGCAGCCTTGCTATTCACTTTTACATTGATGCAGATTTTAGTTAATCTAGATTTTTAATTTTTAAAGAATATAGTTTTCACTTTTATATTCTTTTCAGAATAGAAAAATAACAGAAGTATTGTCGATTTTCTTGAGAGTTCGAAAAATAACGAAGAAAAAGAAATTCAATTTACTCGAAAGAAAAACTGACAATGAGAACTTTTCCAAAGGAATGCGATAATACTACTACTATTCACTGCTAAAAATATTGTATGCAGCAAGTATCTGCTCTGAAAAACTGTTCGATTTCAAGGCGAAGCTGTATTGGTCTTGACGCGATCTTTATCTCCTAAAGGAACAATAATTGATTTAGATTTAAAAGAGCCTTTAATGACATCGCAAGCTGATGCTAAATAGAAAAATCAATCTGAAAATGAACTGAAGATACTGCATAGTAATTTCGTTATTATTCATTTACTAAGACTCCGCTGATATTATTAGACTAAAGACCTCTACTTTGTACATGAAATATATTTTGTGACAGCGCTTTTTGAAGGGTGTGGGTGTGGGTGTGGGCAAAGAGAAGCGAAAGACCAACACCCCACACTCACACCCTCAAGATTGATTTTCTTTCACTTTTTCATTTTCAATATAATAAAAAACAAAGAGAAAATTTCATTTTTTTCTCTTATTTGAAAACAATAAAAGATAAGAAAAATTCAAACACCGTTCACGAGTCTATTCGAGAGAATATCGTTGAACACGAACATTAGCCCAATCAACGACATAGAGATTGGCATGTCGATCGAAGGACAAACCAAGGGGGTGGTAGAACTGATTTGTTCCTGCTCCTGAGCCGTTTCCACCCGCAACTACAGTGACTTGTTTCTTGTCTCCTTGAGTCCAACGTGTCACTCGCTCATTCCCCTCTTCTGCCACATAGATCGTACCCAATGTATCGACGAATAGTCCTTGAGGAAACGACAATTGCGTCAGAGCGTTCCCGTGGCCTTGGCCACCAGCGACTAAAATGCCTTCTTTTGCACCTTTAGTCCATTTCATTACACGATGATTATCTCTGTCTGACACGTAGACATTCTGTTGTCGATCGACAAAGAGATATCTCGGTTCACTGAGTTGATTAAGTCCAGCACCTTGGCCATTACCACCAGCGACGAGAGTGCTATTCTTATCACCCAATTGATATCGTCTTACTTCATGTTTTCGGTAGTCAGATACGTAGAGATATCTCTGCTGACCCATTGCTAATCCATAACAATCGATATTGTCGACGAGTACTTCACCTTGCATTGTACCACGACGACGAGACCATTGTACGACTCGTCGATTGTCTCGATCACAAATAATGAGACTATCCGTCTCTTTGTCGATTAATACATCGCTTGGATATCTCAATTGATCCAATCCACTTCCTTCGTTTTTACCACCAGCGACAACTTGTCCATTCGTATCACTTTTCTTCCATTGGATGATACGATGATTCCCTATGTCAGCAATGAATACTGTTTGATCACCATCAACGAAGAGACCACAAGCTCCAAACCATCCACCAGAGAGTTGATTGATGGCACTGCCTGCCCCGTGACCTCCAGCGACAGTGACACCATTCTGTGTCCAGCGTGCATTAGCAGGAATATCGGGCATGACTGCAAAAGAAACGAATAAAAAATGAAAAAAGAGATCCATGTCATCCTTCTGCACTGAAAAACAAATCTAGCGATACGAAACCCTTTTTATGCTTAAAAGGGTTTCGAGATTTCACACGAATTCGAAATTCTCCTTTAGTTTCGTATAATACTATGAAACCCTCAAAAACGTTTCCTAGATGCTTGGTAAGTCATTGTAACGGTTTCGCAGTATGACACGAAACCCGCAATAAAACTGATGGTTTCATAGTATTAAACGAAATTAAAAGAGGGTTTCGAATTCGTGTGAAATCTCGTAACTCTTTGAAGCATAAAAAAAGGCTTCGTGTCGCAAGATTTTATTTTCAGTGTAGTGTGAAAGGTATTTCCTGCAAAAAACAAAATAAGATTGTTCGGCAATGAGAAAGCTTTATTCTGTTGTAGTTCATATGTGTGCTTAAAGAAATCCTTCGATTTAAGAATCAATTGAGAGCTAATTCCTAAAAGGGAAATTATATATTGATGTTAGGATAGAAGTATAATCTTTGGCGACGATGACTTATCATCATAAGGAGGAAAAAGCATACTTATCTACTTCGGAAGTATATAGAATTATACAGAGACATATATTCGTAACAAAAATCCTTTATATTTCCATCACAGATCCTTGGCGACTAGAGTAAGGATCCTGAACAATTGAATATTGTTTTTCACTAGGAATTGTTGAGGAAATTGTGAAATTTCAGTAGCAGCGTGTAGCCAGAAAAAATTAAAGGTTTTAATGTGATGAGTGCGAATGTGGGTTTACATTATGTTAGCTAATAGCCACAGTTACACTTTACTCCTGCATCTTTGTTGAAATGCCTCGTGAATTAGCTAAAATACTTGACCAAAACTTGATAGTATCCTTCTGTTATAATTTAGAAAAAAACCTGGGCAAGAATCTGAAGAAATCCTGAACAGACTACTGTTTAACGGTGAAAATTTCTAGAAACAGGAATTACTAGGATTCGGCACATGATCCGTAAGAAAACGTGAAAAGATCCTTGAGATTCGTGAGCCAGGCTGATCCTTGCAGGATTTCTCAAGGAATGAACAGGATTAAGACTAGGAATAGAACTACAGAGAATTACAGTACATTTTCATTTCTATTAAGTTGTAATTAATTGTGTTTGTTGTTTTATTTTAATGTTTATTCTTTATGATCTTCTATTATCTATTGTTTCGAGTGTGTTTTAAGGAACACTGATAAAAATTGATGCGAAAACAATAGCATTTGTTCAAAGTAAAAATAATAGTAAAAAACGTTAGGGTGTCAACAGAAATACCTAGAAGTACGGAAAAGTACACAAGTGTCCTTTTCCCTCTTGCTTTTCGTGCTAGATTTAGAAATATCTCTTGGGCCTCTTAAAAGAACCTTGATCAATCATTTTTAAAGTCCCAATAGGAATTCATGTGGATTTCGTGAAATATTTGCAAGGGTATCTCTTTGAATATGAGTTATGCATTGTCTTGAATCTTTTAAGTATGGAGTCTCGACAGAAACATTTTAAAAATCTTCGACAATATTAAGAAATTGGAAATTTTCAGGATCAAATACTATTAGGATGAAGAGAAATAGTTTCGGAGATGGTCGTAGAAAAAATCAATCACGATTTTTCATCAGATATCTGCCACTGGTTTAGAAGAAATCACTTATTATATACTGACGGTTGCTGGTCCCTGTGAACTAGAGGTGACGATGACGACTTTTTGAACTTCACTCATAAATATTTCCAAAGAAGGTATAAAACCTAAAAGAAATCTGAGAACAGGGCCAAGATCAGTTGTTTTGGAACGATTCCAATGTTTATTATACTATTCTCTGGTAATTAGCAGCGGTAAATACAAAACAAATATTCATTATTACTCCTTTTAATTAATAGTCCATTCAAAAAAACAAGAATCAATGTGTGTCTAAAGAGCGTTGTGAAATAAATTATTCTTAAATTGGACACGAGGATAAATTCAATCACAATATTCATAAGAAGTTTATGTGTTTTTCGAGAAGAGACGAAATGCTTAGTAAATTTATAATTTTTTTCAATGTGAAAAATACATTATTAGGTACTATTCGAGTTTTTCTCGTTTTAAATTTATTGGCTCAGAAAATAAATAGTACTTATATCAGTAGGCATCTATATTTTGTTATAATAAAAATATGTATAGTGTAAATAAAATAATGATTCTCTATGTTGACTGATCAAGATATCATCAGTGAAAAGAACGACGTAGAATAAAAAATAAATCTGCTCTTCTCCTCATTGTTTTCTTTCAAAGCTCCAGAGTTATTTTTTCATAAAAACTAACTATATACACTTGATTAAAAATTAGAATTGAGCAAAGTCAATAAGTGATAAATGAAAGCTTACCTATCTCTTGAGTAGTGTTTGTAGTTGTAGTTGGAATTGTAGTTGTAGTGTTCGTCGCTATTGATTATCATAGAAAATTTATGGAAAACGATCATGTTGTTCTACTTCTCATATAGAAAGTGAAATAGAATTTAGTGTCAGCAAGTTTTTAAAGCAGTGGTCGAATTCTGTGAACTAAGAAGTGGAACAGTGTAGATAGAGAAGGCCGACAGGCACAGCCTCACTCCTTAAAGACTATGCATTTCAGACTAAAGTGTATGGTCTATGAAATGAGCAGACAACTACTCTGGAACTATTAAAATGCATTATGCCTCGGCTATGCGTTATCTACTTTTTAGGTAAGCTCTTCTTGACATCGACCACAACAAACTGAATTGCAAATATGACCGCGTGTCAATGCCGAAGAAATAATTTCAAGAAAGATTCGAATTGCACTTGACTCTTTAGATCAATGTATTTTCTCTTACCCAGTATCGGTGGACAGAGTTCAACATTGTCTGCCCGTACTGGATAACAAATAGGAACATCACGACACCGAGGATGGTGAACACATTCATAGTCACGTGGACAAAGATTGGTTGAGTTTTCACATAGAGTCAGCTGAGAACATTCCACCAAATATTGATAACTGCAAAGACCAAAATTAGTGGCACCTGCTATGAGGAAGCAGGCACACCCATTAGTTGTCGAACAACGATCATATTGAGCCATTTTATGGCAGATTTGAGATTTGACTCGAACTACCGAAACACTAAATTCAAAGAAGAATGAATAAAAAATGAATACACTTCAGATTTACCTGCACAGAACGAATATGAAACAGCATATTACTTTTGAAAACATCATTGGCGTTGAAATGTAGCAGAATAGCAAGAATATTCATATTTATATCTGATGAATAGCTAATGGTTGTGGTATTTACTAAAAGGGAAAAATACGAGTTGATCCTTGAATAATTATAAATTCGATATTGCTCTGGCGATTTCTTAAGACTTTGTTTTAACTTCATTACCAAACAAATAATCCGTATGGAAGAAAAAAGTGCGACAAAATACAAGCAGTCAATACGTCCGTTTCATCGCTCCTAACATGAATAGTGTTGCTGGCAACCGTTTAATCATTTATTTAACGACGAGTTAAAATGAATTCAAGAACAATTTTATTTTCATTATGAGCAGCTTAAACGAGTTCGCATCTTCAGCAAATCGAAGTTACAATCTGTAGTCAGCTACACTCACTTGTACTTTGAACTTTATTTTAGTTGTACTTCAAGCGTTACTTTACTTTAATTTTACTTCGAAATCTCATTTCTAACCTAAGCATGCCAAGTTCAAGAGAAAAATCTATGAAAATAGAGGTACAGCTAAACTATCAGCGAGACAAAGATCGACAATATCCGCCAGTAAACAAGCAAGAGTGTGGGTGTGTTATACACTCAATACTCGATAGATTCAAAGCAGCATATACGACGCGTTTCGATCGAGGCTTAATTCGATCATCATCAGTTATCCATAGAATCCCAAAACTGCATTATTATATAAAATAAATCATTTGTTAGGTCATTTTCTCCCGTTTCCCTTTTATTCCTTTTTTACACCAAACAACAAACAATCGAAATCATCATGGATAGGGGTGTACCAAGGCCGAGACTTTCAGTTTCGGCCAGTCACGGTCTCCTTGAGTCTCGGTCTCGGTCATCTTAGCCGAGACTCTCGGTGTGGGCGTGGGTGTCGTAAGTGGTTGTGGCGGCATATATTTCTGTATGAATTAATACCCACACCCACACACCCTAAGAATCAGATGTGTACAATCACAATATGCAGAAAATCTAATAAAACTAGGCGAAAAGAGGAGTGAAGAATCATTGAAAGTATTTATTGTGAAACTACGTTTTCGTATAAATCCGACCTCTGATGATTATGCATTTCTTCTTATAACTCATTTTAACGTTATAGATATGAGAGATGTATTTAATCCAAGAGATTTTGAATCACCTATCGGTCTTGAAGGACGAAAACGACAAGTAGCAGAATTAGGTATTATGAATTTGTATGCATTAGCTTTTGCATATTCAACATTTGTTGAATCAAGCATGACACATGAATATGGTGAATCAGTTAATACCAAAAGACAAAATGAGATAAGAAATATATTTGTTATTATGTGAAAGTCTATTTCGAGATCTATTGAAATCTGTGGAAAATACTGCCAGGTATGACGTTTTCGGTGTATATTCGCATGATGTGATGCGAGAAACTGGACAAGAATATAATCGTCTTCTTCAAGATTTAGCTAGGTCACTCGGAGTAGCGGTAGACCAATTCATACTCTGAAAAAAATAAAGGAGGTTTACAGAACCCTCCGGAAAGGTTCTGTAGATTTTCAAAATGCTCCAAATGTGTTGAAAGTCTCAAAAAAAAGGATAAACATTTTGACAGAACCTTTTGAAGGTTCTGCGTTTTACCCAAGTGCAGAACCATCTCTTACAGAACCTTTTTTTCGGTTCTGTACAGCAAAAAAAGGTTACGTGAAAAAATAAAAAANNNNAAAAGGTTCTGTCAAAATGTTTATCCTTTTTTTGAGACTTTGAACACATTTGGAGCATTTTGAAAATCTACAGAACCTTTTCGGAGGGTTCTGTAAACCTCCTTTATTTTTTTCAGAGTAGAAGAACCATATTGTTTAGAAAGAGAAATAAGTGAAATCTATAAGAAAAACTTCCTAAATACTAATACTGATTATATGACAGCAAATTGGGAAAGATTTTTTCCATGTGATCCCTTTAATGGTATCAAAAAAGACTTGCGTATGCGTCATATTAACTTAGTTAAATATATTGATGCACATTTTCAAATGCGCCGTTTATTATCAGAAGACTTTGTTGTAGGTGTAGTGGGTCCTCATAAAGCATGAAAATCAAATCTTATTCGAAAAATGTTCAATTTCAATACAGAACCTAATTTCGAGGAACGAACAGTGGATATAAATAGTTATAGAGTATCCGGTGAATTTCGAATCATCGATTTCCCACCCTTAATATCAACAAACGATCTATTAATATCAGCTCATCGCTCCAATTGCATATTAATCAATGCAATCATAGTTGTATTAGATGCAACAGCTGAAGCAGATAGTGATGCCGAAAGAACTGTGATAAATATAGTAAAATTATTATCAGAAAAGGGTGTCGATGTTTTATATTGTTTTAATAAAGCTGATAAGTTAATTCTGTCGCATACAGACATCGTTTGTTCGCAATTGCTGTCGGATGATGATGGTGACCAGTTAATTAGATATCTTTCACAAGATATTACACAAACGGATAGATTGAATTGTTCTGTAAGAGCTCGACAAATATCTAAAAAAGGTATTGATAACAGAATTGTTAAACAAAAATATGTAACCACTTGGACGAAAGAAAATGTATCAGAAACATTAGTAGCATTTGCAAAAAATTACGATATACCTCTAGTTAAGTGTATGCTAACATTTTGTGAACTCGATGAACCGGGTGATCAGCGCCATAGAATATTTCGCGAGTTACTTGATCTAGGGCTTCAAATTCCTACTTATATTAAAGGAACTTGGTTAAAAGAATTTCTTGAATCGAATAGTGTATCACCAGAAAGTATTCATCAAATTCTGGAATTCTCGTTTCCTCAATAGTCTATCACGAAGATCTATGCTCGTTAAACATGATAAAACTATTTCCTACTCGAAGTACAAATTTGTTTTTGCTTTATTTTGTTTCTAACTTTTTATGTTTCATTTTATTCATGCAATAGAATGCGACTCTAGTGAACCCATGTAAATATTTTTTGCCTCGAAACGCGTCTAAATGCGTCTCCAGTGAAGCAAACGAAGCGTTTTGACGCGGCTGAAGGTAAAATCTCGTTCAGACGCGGTTTTTTGCAAAATCAAGGGTAAACGTGTTTTGAGATAAAAACGCGTCTGAACGCTTCGAATGTTTCACAGGGGACGCGTTTCATACAATTTATTAAAAATTATTGAAAAAATTATTTCAGTTCGTCTCAGATTTGATCTGAGTCACCATCGATATTCTCTATCCATGATCTTTACCCTACTGTAGGTCAACGAACTGTTAGCATATCGACATGTCGATGAATCTTAAATGATAGAAATGAGATTAGAACATGTGAACCAATGATTAAGAGACAAGTATACGTACCACGCAGTCATATATGACTACAATCGTTGTAGAATGGCATGCAAAGTCTATGAGGGTTATGAATTCATATAAAGCTTACAAATGTATAAATGATAGTAATGTAGAAAAAAATATAATTTTTACGCAACTATTAATTGCAAATATACATATTTGCTAGAAAAAAGTATTTTCACAAAAGTAACTTTTATTTTATATCTTTTTTTAATTTCGAAAACTTCATGGGACAACCTTTTCCATTTAAGGCAGGAT